AAAAAAAAAGATACTAGGACAACAAAAACATTTTTTAATTTCCTTTAAGGTCAATAGTTCCTTTTAGGATCTTGGAATTACCATCTAAGACAAAATTTTTTTTAAATTTTAATTGGCCAAAATCAATAGGGGCATAAAATGCTACTTTTGGTAGATGCCAGAGATATCAAACAGGAAAGATCTACTGGGAAGGTTTGTTAGTATGCAGTTCATGTCTTGAGCATTTAAATGCTAAGACATATATAGGCTGCCTGATCTGCCTCAGAGAAACATGCAAAAGCAATCCAGAGACTAATCATTATCACATCTTAAAAATCTACTAACTGAAGTCCAGGCATGTAACTACATGCTCTCTATAAATTACTGCTAATTGTTAACAATGCTGAAAAGTACTGTATCTCAATATAGCAGGTAAAAAGCATTCAGAGAAAAATAGCTTGCTCAACTTCATCCAAAATTTGAAATGAGACCTACTAACGTAAAAAGTCTCTTTATAACCAGAGCATACTGTTTTTTTCTCCTACTCAGGACATTCCTTCATAGGCAGTTAGAACCTTACATGGTTAAAATGTTAGACAAATAAATTATTTTTGAGAAGTTCAGAGATTCTTTTTCTTTTAAAACCTCAGAATCATAAAATCTTTTTTTAATAATATTTATTTTATTTTACTTATTCATTCAATTTTTAGTTCGACCAGAGAGAGACAGAGGGTGAGAGTGAGAGAAAGAGGAAGTGAGAAAGTAAGCCACCAAATTCAGGACTTGAACTCTGGTTGGCCATGTGGGAGTGTCCAGCACCTTAACCATCACACCATCTGCTGGTCCCCGAGAAGTTCAGAGATTCTGACCAAACTTTCACTTTTTGAGGAAAAGTTGTAGGCTTTTACTTTTGTGAAGACGGCTTATCTCTTAACATTCACAACTCAGTGCAGAGACCCAACCCTAGCCACCTCACCAAACCTAAATCAACTTTCACCAATTTTTTTTTTTTGGAGAGGTTTTTTTGCTATAGGGCGCGTGCACTCGCAAGAGAGACAGAGAGAAAGAGAGACAGAAACTGAGAAATCACGCCCCAAAGGGGATGGCCATGCTGCAATCCCTTCTCCTCTATTCTCTTCTCGGGATCTTGGGCAAGCACACACGCACCCGGCGTTGAGTTTAAGGCACTGGGTCTGGGACTTCAACTGTGGTCAACTACATGGGAGTCCAGAGACATAGCCATTACACTAACTGCTGGTCCCAACTTTCAACAAATATTTAAGGGGGAAGAAGTGATGTCCTCTGGGGCGGGGTGGGGGGGGTAAGTCCTACTACTTTAAAAGAAGGTCAACTGATCTGAGCAGATCTATGTATAAAAAAGACACTATAAAATACTCTAATAGTTTTTTAAATCCTTAGCACAATACTTAAACAAATAAATCTTCCAAGGATTGAATAAGTTAAGTGACTTATTTTGAATCCAGAGCTAAATGGATGAAAAGTATTTAAAACTATATCCTTCCAAGTATCTGTTCTTTCCATACTACCATATAACTACCTTGGCAACTAATCTGAAAGAGAAGGGTTAGGGACAGGAATATATGTGACTTTAACTATTATAAATGACCTTGGTATAAAAGTGAAGCTAGAGAGAAATAAACCCATTTTTGCTAATAATGACATTAAACTCTAATAACTTCTTTTTAAATTTTGCTAGAAGGTGAATGCACTTGCTAGAAAGAGAGGGAGAGGCAAGAAACACATTGGTCCCACTGTAATCCCTTCTCTTTCCATTCCACCATTCTTTGGAGACTTAGGGTATACACACACGCACCCCTAGCATGTTTCTCAAACCGCCAAGTCTAGGACTTGAACCTGGGGGTCAGCCATGTAGGATCCAGCTAACTTTCTTTTTTTAAAGGTTTTTACCATAGAGTGTGTGTGTTCGCTAGAAAGAGACAGAGATAGAAGGCAGTGAAGGAAAAGTAAGAAATCACCCCCTGAGGGGATGGCCATGCCACAATCCCTTGACCTCTGTTCTCTGTTCTCCTCTTGGGATTCTAGGTACGTACGTGCTTAGCATGCTTTTAAGCCACTGGGTCTGGGGCTCAAAACTGCAGCTGGCCATGTGGGAATCTAGCTCCCTAACCACTACACTATCTGCTGGCCCCAGTTCAACTGTCTAAACCACCAAGGCATGGAGATGGGCATCATCTAACTTCATTAACTGGCAAGTATATTACTTTTCAGTCATCCAAGTAAATGGAAGTCCTTTGAGTAATTAAAATTTTAATTGTATCATGTACCAAAATATGGAACTATGGTCAACTGATGATTGTGTCCCTTGTTCTGATACAGTGGCATCTTACTAAAATTTTATACAAAATGAAATAAAAGGGTTAGTACACCAGTAATCAGTTGCTATACAAATGCTACGACAAAACAAAAGAATTATAATAAAAGTTACAAAAGTAACTGAGAATATCCAGAATTTAGGATTTTAATTACCAGTGAGTATAACAGAAGTATTTTTTCAGAGAAAATATGACATACAATACCTGCGGGTCCTTGGTGGTTTGGGAGGAGGAGAATCTTGCTTTTCAGGATCTATGGAGCTGACCATATTTTCAGTGTTAATTTCATTCTGCCAAGGGAAAGGGAAAGCTTCACTGAAGTTAGGAGAAAATAATTTTTCTTCTTCATGTTTCAAATAAACGGTTTCTGAGCTTTTGAATTCTTAAAATAATGCCAATTTTGCCATGTTACAAAATGGGGCTCCATATTTTAACCTGAAAGACCAAACTTCAAGGTGAAAGATTTTATTTTGTTCTTGTTTTTTTTTTTTTTTTTTTTTTTTAAGAGGTTTTTTTTGATATAGGGTGCATGCATGCACCAAAAAAGACAGAGAGAGACAGAAAGCAAGAAATCACCCTGGAGGAGATGGCCACACCATAATCCCTTCTCCTCCATTCTCCTTTCAGGATCTTGGGCATGCATGCACACGTGTCTGGTGTGAGTTTAAGCCACCGGGTTCGGGACTCAAATCGTGGTCAACTGCAAGGGAGTCTAGCAACATAGCCATTACGCCAACTGCTGGTCCCAAGATTTGTATTAAAAAACCAGCCTACCGCCAGTTACTGAACCATCAGTTCAGCACAGCAGCATTTCAACACATTCCTAAGTAGTACTATAAAGAAACAAGATTTCCTGGGACCAGCAGTTAGCGTAATGGCTATGTCACTGGATTCCCATGTAGTCGACCTCGGTTTGAGTCCCAGACCCAGTGGCTTAAACTCATGCCGGGCGCATGTGTGTGCATGTCCAAAATCCCGAGAGGAGAGTGGAGGAGAAGGGATTGTGGCGTGGCCATCTCCCCCCCACCCCCAGGGGGGTGATTTCTCACTTTCTGTCTATCTCTCTCTGACTCTCTGGCAAGCGCACACGCCCTGTAGCAACAAGCTCTCCTAATAAAAGAAATAGATTTCCAAAGAAACTAAAGCTCAAAGAAGATAGTCCCACCCCAACCCCCATCACTACTACTAGAAACTTAAAACGTGCAGAGGAAAAAAGTCAACAGAACAAGGCTTACATCTTTAACCTTTTCCAACCTTATTGTGATTTCCCAAGATTCATTTTAATCATTCCTTGTCCCATTCTCACTGTGGCCATGTGGAGTGCCCTACTCCATTAGGAATACAGACCCGATATCTCTAACCAACCAAACAGGCCCAAATGGTCCAAAAGGGGGACCACATGAGGGACATATCCTTTGTTTTTGCTGGTCACAAGGACCGATGACATCAAGCATTTAATTACTGAGGAAACAATGATGCTCCAAAGTCAAATACAGTTATAAGAATATTGGGTTTCAGGGGCCAAGAGATGGCATAGTGATGAGGGTGCTGGACTCCTGCATGGCCAACCATGATTTAAGTTTCAGACCTAGTGCTTTGCTTTCTCATTTTCCCTCTCTGTCTCTTTCTAGTGAGCACACGTGCCCTATAGCAAATTAAAATACATAAATAAATGAATGAATAAACTAGATAGAATAATTCTTTAAAAAATGAATAAAGTAAATAATTTTTTAAAAGGATCTTGGGGACCAAGAAGGCGCAATGGTTACGTCATTGGAATCCCACATGGCCAGACCCGGAGGCTTGA